TGCGCCTGATCAGCACCAAGCCGTCACCACTCTTGGCCACTGCCTTTGAAATTGTGTCGGCAGCCTCGGCTTCACCCTCTGCCCTGATGACGTTGGCCTGCCTCTCCTGCTCGGCCTTCTCGACAATGAAGCGCGCGCGCTCGGCCTCTTGTTGTGCGATCTGCTTCTCTTCGACGGCCTTGGTGAACTCTTTACCGAAAGTCATGTGGGTGATGGAGACGTCTTCGAGGGCAATGTTGAACTCGTTGGCACGCTTGAGCAGGTCGGTGCGAATGCGGTTCGAGACGGCCTCTCGCTGGGTGATGAGCTCGGCGGCATCGAACTGGGCGACGATGGCTTTTAGGACTTCGTTACCGATGGAGGGGAGGACACGCTCGTCGTAGTCGAGACCGAGGTTCTACTAGCGCGTTAGATGCAATTCCTCGAGCTGCCTGCTGCACGAGTGCGGAGGGGCATAGACATACCTGGTAGATCTTAGGCAGCTGCTTAACCTCTGGGCGATGCAGCACCCTCAGTGTGAGTGTGACCATCTGCAAGTCCTTGCTGCCCGTCGTAGTGCTGATGTTCCGCGGCCTCGTCCTTACATCGAAGACAATCGCCCGCTGCAGCCATGGTACCAGAAAGTGGGTGCCCTCGTTGACGACTTGTTCCTTGACTCCCGACAGACGATCGAAGATGACGGCGCGGGTTCCGCCCTTGACGTCGTAGAGGGAGCTCTGCACGACACTGGCGCCGATGGCGGCAGGAACGACCCAGCGGAAGAGGGAGGTGGGTATCGCAGCCATGGTTGGCGGTTTGTGCGGTTTGGTGTGGTGAGGCGGCGGCAGGCAAGATGCGGAGAATCGTGAGAAGTGGATGATGCTTCTACTGGAAATATGGTCCGAGCGTCTGCGGCGAACGATGCCCGTGATTGGCGCAAACACTACCACCACGGATGCACAACGAGCACATGCTGGCGGGTTGAGGCGTCTTCATTAGATAGTCCAGGCTGTTGCATTGTTGTCTTACCCGACCCTGGTACGCTTCCGTGCATGAGGAAAGTCACGGAAGAGGGGCTGTCAGATCAGGCAGGAGGCATTCGGTTGGTAAACAAAAAGACTCATATGCGTGTCGAAAAGGATGTATTCATCAACGCCGATGCTGATATGCATATGTGTGGCTTAAAGCCCGTCTACGTACTCCCCGCCTCATCCATGACCCCCTCCACCAGCTCATTCTCATCTGAGCGACAGCCACCGGTACAAGGTCGGCTCACTACTGCTCAATAAAGCCCTTGTGCTCCTTGTGCGCCTTGTACCAGTAGCTGTCCTCCTTCTTCGGCCGGAGCTCCTCTGACAGCTTGTCTAGGATGACCGCCAGAAGTTTCTGACGGCCATCCTCGTTCTCCGCGTCCCGGTTCCAGACGGCGATCTGTACAGCGTTCCAGCGAACGCTGTACGAGATCCCGCAGATGTCGTCGTTGAAGGCTGTTGAAGATTAGTCTTGAATACGTGTGAATTGTTGGAAAGAAATCAACTTACAGGCACGCTTCGTCTCGACGGCCCCCTGCAAAACGTCGCCAACCGCAAGCAGACACATCTCGTGCCAGAATTGCGCCGCCACGTCCTTGCTGACCTTGAAGTACCATGCGCCGCCGCGCGTATTCCGCGGGTCTTCCCAGACCGGCTTCACACCCAGGTGGAAGAGGTGTATCGAGTCTCGCAGCTTCAGGTTCTCCACCGGGATGTTGTTGAAGTGCTGGTAGAACTCCTTGACGGAGACGATCTGGTCTCCAAGCGGCTTGGGGCGGGTGAGGTACTCTTCTGAAGCCGCCTTGTCCTTGGGCGCGGCTTGCTGACCCTTCTCTGCCCAGAACATCCATTTGAAGCGGAACTCGGGTACTCGCACCGACTTGAAGATGTTGTTGAGCATGGCGGTGCCGCGCGCAGGCGAGGCCGTGGCCGACTGCTCTTCAGCCGATGCCTTCGGGAGGTCAGAGGTGCTGAGCACCGGGAAGCGACCAGCCATGGCGGGAGATGTGATGGGGATGCCGAGGTTGCTGCTGATGAGCTGGAGTTCCTTGATGTTGGAACGCGCGGTGAAGATGCGCTTGCTGTTTTCGATAGCGAGGTCGTTGGCGAGGTCCTCGGAGGTCTCCTTGGGCTGGACGTTGGGGACGACGAGGATGGTCTCACGGGCAATGGCTTTGTTGAGGGTGACGAGGATGCGATCAGCGGCGACCTTGGCCTCGTACGTCAGGGGCTCGTTGGGGTAGGGTACGCCGTGCTTGGTCGCGTAGATGAGGTCTTCAAGAAGAGAGACGGAGGTGGACTTGCGGGCAGCTGCTGCAGTCCTAAGCTTCTTGCGGGTCTCGTTGGCCGAGGCAAAGAAAGCTTCGCGCTCCTTGAGCTTGGCCTGGTCAGCGTTCTGAGCGGCAGAGGCCCTGAGCATGCCGATGATACGAATGGTCTCGTTCATGGTCATGGTGATGGATGTGAATGTGGTATAGGATAGAGTGATGTAGAGAGGAGAAATGACGACTGAGAGTCTCTGAATAGATATAGAAAGCTGGCGGATGGTGGTTTGTAGATTGTGAAGGCTTGTGAAGAACAGGAGTGTGATGGACGAGAGACAGTCAAGGACGAGCGATTGGAAAGTTTTTATGCTCTCCCAGCCTCCTCATTGCAAAGACAAACAATAGCAGAGAAATCTATTGTGGACTCGCTTGAATGACGGTGGTGAAGGTGAACGCGCAAGGTGAAGACGAGTGGACCAACCAGCGCTCGGCGTTGGGCTCGATGAAAACTGATCATGCTGGCACAATAGCAGAACGCGCAAGATGATAGCAGATGATCAATAGGGAAATATGCAATCATCTGATGCTGATGCTGGATCGGGGCAGATCGATCTTGATAAGATCCATGGATGGGTGCATGTGGGCAAGTCTGAGGTTGACTTTCGATCTGGTGGCAAGAAAGAGACGACGGGAACGGAGATGGATGAATTTGTAGAGATTGTAGCGACATGAGAGAATAAGTACATACCTAATGTCTGATATCCAGAAATCTCGCGCAAAGACAACTGAGCCTTGCACACGGTTGCCCAGGTGGTGAACACTGATGAAAGTCGGAAGCGGGGCAGCGACACACCGACTCTTGCAGACACCGTCACAAAAGCTATGAGAACAGGTAGAGAGAAGGATCACAGCAGCGAGACTGTAAAGATTGACGAGAAGGGGTGAGGTCGGATATGTACGAGGCCAGCTGGAGCTTTAAGAGGCTTAACCCCTCGGACAGCACAAGTCAGCCATGCAGGCGCCCGCTCTAACTACGTTTCAAGACGCCGTTTCACGACCCCTGCTGACACCAACGAGTCGCTTCTGCCTCAGGCCAATCTGCAGCCGCACGCCTTGGACTGTGGAGCATCTGACGGGATATCCCATTGTTATAGATGTACTTGAACATGTCATGTGTGCATATCTGGTTGGCATTGGCTGTCGGCGCCAAATGCTGGAGAGGGCGGTGACGTAGCCAAGGGTCTTCTCCGGCTCGCTACCCTGGCGCGAGATCTGCACCCGTCTGCGCGAAACTTTGAATCTTGCCCAACTTTTTCCCCAGACTTTTGTAACCCACTTCCAAACGCGTAGACGTCCTTAACCGTCTCTCCTAAGATTACCCATATCGAACACCACCAAGGAATTATGTCGCCATACGTCCACGAAGCCGTCGCGCACCGCAGCAAGCGCGTGCGCTTCTCCAACGAGCCTGAATCCTCGCCGCCCTCGATATCCTCCGACTCCGCCCTCGCGTCGACAAACGCTGCAGACGATTCTACCACGAATGCAAGCGACTTTGGCACCTCGGATAGCGACAGCGAATTGTCCGAATCGAGCGAAGAACCCAGCAGCGACGAGAGCTCAAGCGAGGAGGAAGACGACGATGGCGAGGACACAGAGATGGAGCTCGAGGAGCCACAATCACAAGACGGCGTCGTAAACCTCCGCGCCAACAGAGGCACGAAGCCTATCATGAGGCTAGGCGATGAGGATCTAGGACCAGACATTCGCGGCTTCCTCAAGGACTTTCTGCCGCAGTTGAAGGCTGCGAACGAGGAATTGGAGGCGCAGAAGAAGGCCGGGACGCTGAAGAGCCTGGAAACTGTAGAGGGACAGGACGAGGGCGAGCCGTATATTGAGATGGTGAGTATTGAATCTTGAGGGTATCGTAGGGCGCTGCTGACAGTGTCTAGGACCTCGGACTAGGTGTTCTCGAAGAAAAAGACCCGAACGCGGACAGCGACAAGGACAGCGCGAGCGATGCGGAAGACAGCGATAAGGAAAAGGATGTGTTGGGCAAGCTGATGGGGCGCGAGAAGAGAGATCCTGCGAGCATCGAGGTCGTGCAAAACACAACAGAGTCAACATGAGATGCTGGCCAAGACGATTGCCGTCATTACGGGCGCCTTCAGAAACGGACTGAGCTACGGATACGACAGTGTTTGCGCGCGATCCGCATGCTCATACTGAGGCCTTCACCTATCCAGTCACTGGTTCGCCTGTCAAAGGCCTGATGTGTGAAGAGCGAACGAGATTCGGTATAACCCCTCACCTGTGGCTCTGTGCGGAAGCTAATGTAGCATAAGGATCACGCAACCTTCCGGTATGCTCTTCAATGTACAATGTAGACATTGCAGATATGGGACCTAGGCTCGGAGTTGAACGACTGGATATCAATATCACGCATACACAATCACATACTGCAAGCACGCAATGCTTCGTCCTGTGAAGAACCCACGATGCATTGGTGGCTATAAGTAGCCGCCCCAGCACTTACACTTACTCTTCCTTAGACCTCACAGACAACGCATACACACACTACCATTTACAGCATCATTCGACTATATCGACAACAAACTTGATCAACATTCCAGCTCCACGAGACACGACTACGCTCAACGGCCGCAATTGTATCCCTGTCCTTACACAATTGGAAACCCAAGCCTCTCTTACATAAGTATACATCATGAGCGGATTACCAGGCAAGGGCAGGGGCTCTGGAGGAGACGATAGGGAGGAGAACAAGAGGCGTGGGGCACAAGATAAGAATAAGGCACCAGCAAAACCTCGGCCGAAGCGGACCGTAGAGCAGAAAGCAGCCATCAACCAAAAAAGGCGACAACAGAGATCAGACAACGCTGAACAGGCGAAACATAACCTAGAACTGGGGGCTGACCTGCGTAAGGAAAAGGACGAGAGAAATGCCAAGGAACGCATTTACTATGCGCAGAAGAGGATAGTCGATCAAGAAGGGGCGAAACATGACCCAGATCTGAAGGCTAAGCTGCGTGAGAAAGCGAACCACCATGCTGCCTATCAGAGAAATTACAAAGAGCAGAGGGTGATTAAGGAGACGGCGCTATCTTCTGGGAGGCCGGAGACTCCAGCAAGTATAACGTGGGAGAAGCCAGAAACCCTACTATCATACGGCTCACCACAGCCCAAACTTCTGAACTCGAAGAAAATGGACATACAGTTTGAAGAATACGACCCACAAAACCCTGAAGGAAGTAACCTAAAAGTGCCTCAGGTCACGAAACCTCGCACAGAGAAACCTCGCACAGAGAAACCTCGCGAACCTCCGAACTCGAAGAGAATGGACATACAATTTGAAGAATACAACCCACAAAACCCTGAAGGAAGTAACCTAAAAGTGCCTCAGGTCACAAAACCTCGCACAGAGAAACCTCGCGAACCTCCGAACTCAAAGAGAATGGACATACAGTTTGAAGAATACAACCCACAAAACCCTGAAGGAAGTAACCTAAAAGTGCCTCGGGTCACGAAACCTCCCCCACAGAAATCTCGCCCACAGAACCCGAAAAGAAGTGACACAAAAGTGCCTCGAGTCCTGGAACCTCGCCCGCCGCTGTCCTCAACTTATGGATATGACGATCCGCAGACTGGATATGCCATGCAGCCGCCCACAAATGTCGGACGCGGCGAACAACGGCCATCGTTTGCCGCTGTTGACCCGGCAAACCAACGACTTTTGGCGTCCCTCGATGCGAGAGGAGATCAGGCACGTACTGGGTGGAGACCGGGACCTGCGCCTGCCAATCTACCCTCTCTTGATCAGCGTAGAGAGAATACCGGTCGGCGATCGAGACCCACAGGTTCGGACCCGAATCCAGCTGTCACCCTTTCTATGGGGAATCTATCGATGACCACACGCCCCTCAACGACTGTTTCGCACAGGGGGTCGCGTAACAGTCCACCAGATAATTCTGATGATCGTGCAACGCGGAGACCGCCAAACTTCAGGCAAAGGTATACCGATGAGCAAACCAAAGATAATATGAGTATGGGGAAGTTTCTTGAATGAGGGGAATCTTGATAGAGAATGGGTGGAGTAAATTGGGCCTGAATACTGAGAGTATATTATTGTCCATATGTCGGATTGACAGGGTGGTTGCATTTCATGGTTAAAGAGCTGGCTCTAAACTTCGAAGATCGAGCAGATGTGCTGAGATACTTGTTACATTGGCTTTTTCCTTAATTGACACTTACGGTATGCTTATTGCTAATTCATTGGGCTCGAGGGGTGGGGTGGAGCCCCTCTATTGTGTATGTTACTGTATGGCTATCACGGCGTTGTTGGGCCTGAAAAGGCATTAAGTACAGTCATTAATGAAGAACGTTACTTCCTTTTGATTCTGATCATTCATGATGTACTGGAAGCGTGTGATCTCATTATCGAAAACATATCTGGCTCATCCGTGCTAACACCCGTTTCGCATCTTACCAAACCCTCACCCATGCATCGCCACCTCCTCACGAATGCCTCGCCAGTAATACGAATCCCTCCAACAATCCCCATCTAATGACCAACACCTCCCTTAGCCCACGTCGCATCAGCATTCTCATGAATCTTCGGCACCTCAATATACTCCCTCACCCCCTTCTTCCTCTGATAATCGCTATCAAACCGCTGATCCCTCTCCTTCAACCTCTTCTCAAAATCCGGCATCTGATCCGCCGCCGTATAACTCGTCATCAGCTGCGGGGGTCCAAGCGGCAACTTGTCACCACGGTCAGTCTGCCAGAGATGGTAGATCTTGCCGTATAGCTCGACAACTTCTTCCATCTCTTTGTTCTCGGCTATCTCCCATGCGGCTTCTGGTACGCCCGTTGGACGCGGCATGATTAGCATTCCGGACTTTACTTCGAAGACGTGGGAGTGCCAGAGCTTTTGCTCTTCGGCGTCGAGGGTTGAGTAGAGTTTGGGAGAGATCATGTACTCTGGGGTTGGTTTAGTATGAGGTCTTGCGGTTGAGGAAGTAGGATGCTTACCAATACCGATGATTCGCGCGCCTTTCTCGGGTGAGTCGTAGAGAATGCATTGGCGTACTTCATCGTTCAGGTGCGCGCAGTAGTGGTTTGCTTCGACTGCATCGCGCTTGGGGTCGTGAGCGTATGCGTGGAAGGCGTTGAGGTGAGCGCATATCCTCTTGACTGGCGCGAAGTTCTGTACAATTGGTTAGCGTAGTCACTATACGAGCAAAGTTATGCTTACCTGAGTCATACCAGCACCAGTTTCAAGTGTGTTGTTGTATGCACTCTCAGGCTCACCGGCCGTTTTGTTGTTCACTGGAAGCGAGTCCATGTTGTGTTGTGTTCTGGATGATGTCGTTTCTGAGTGTTGACTGATGGTGCTACTGGTAAGGCCTTGGAGATATGAACTCTTTCCTTGCTTTTAATCTCAGTTGCTTTTCGAATTCGCCGATGATAATCGCCGTTTAGGAAAAGTTATCGGCGTCTCAAATGGCGAAGTTTTGAGAATGCACATGGGACCATGAACGGAGGTTGACGTCATGATGACTTTTGATTGGGTAAAACACCGGACCCTGCACCCCGAGATCTCTTCTTGAGGAAGCAAAAGCTGACCGACGAAGACACCGCATCTTCAACTAGGTCGCTGTCGGCGTCTTCTCTAACATAATCATCTTATTGATTTTGGCAACCATAGGGAGGCCTGGATTTCTTTGGAGCAACACAACACTAAAAGCTGCTAAAGGCGGTCTTTCAAGGTCTAACGCGCACAACATGTAAATCTCAGTACACTGCATACAACTTCTGAATGTACGTTTCGGCTGCGGCGATGACTAAGCGTCTCTGATATCGCCTATACTCTAGACTGCGACGGTCTTGCCTATGTAACCGCAATACTGACTATCTCTGAGCGACTAAGGTGTAGTCGAACCTCTTCGCTTGAACCTGCACTCAACACCAGTCTGGACGTTGAAAGAAGCATTGTGTGTCTTCCACGGCTTGTCATGTGCCATCTCAAAGTCGAACCGATGCAGTACCTCGGTAGTTATCTTGTAAATCTGTGTCAAAGCGAGCTGTCTATTGTCAGTACTTTTCTCCTATGCGATCATGGTATACTCACAGGCCTTCCAACGCATGTCCTTGTTCCAGCACCCCAACCTAGGATTGTCTTGTCCATCGCCCGCGTACGATCTTCACTTTGCAGCCATCGCTCGGGGACGAAGTCCAGCGCATCTTTTCCAAATACGTTTTTGTCGTGCGAAACGATTGAAGGGTTCATTCCAACTGTGTAGCCTGCTGGGATGTATTTCCCACACAGAGTGATTCCTTCGCTTGGAGCATATCGAGGCATCGATACCGAGAATGGAGAGAATAATCTCAGGGCTTCCTTTACAGTCGCTACGAGGTATGGAAGAGAAGATACCTGACTGTACTGTACTGGTGATGAGAGGGTACCGTTCTCAAAGGCCGCATCGACTTCTGCGCGCGCCTTTTCCAGTTTCTCGGGGTTCTTCATCAAGAAGTAGAAAACGGAGCGCATTGCGATGGACGTGCTATCAGCTCCAGCCATACTAATAACAGTCAGCATGATACTCCACGGTAGCTGTTCTGTCAGTACACATACATTGCAACCCACATGTCCGAAGTGATCTCTCTGTGCGAGTAGTTTACTTTCTCTCCCTTTTCCTGCACAATCGCCAGAAGCTGAGAAAGTAAGTCGGGTCGCTTTCCCGTCACTTCAAGGGTTCTCTCGGTAGCTGTCTTCGTCTCTATGATTGCAGTCTTCTTGATATCCTCCACAGCCAGCACAGCCTTCAGTAAGCTCGGAATGCACACAGCGACCAAAAGCAGAAACGGTCGTATGTAGTACGGAGTGACTGTCAGAAGGGTAAGAAATGGCATTGCAAGATGGACCGAGTGGATGTAGTTGTTGTAATCGATGCTGTCCTTAAGGAAACCAAAGGCTTGACCGAAGAAGGCGACTCCGACGCTGTCAAACGAGTACCTTATTCACAAGTTAGACTGTGAAATCGGTGAAAGCTAATTTGTAACTTACATCTCGAGCCAAAGACCAAAGTCAAATGCTTCGTTGCTATCGGCGAAGCTACCCAACCGTTCAAGAAAGAGTTCCAAGGTCGCATCCAGATTCGGTTCGTTTTTCCGTATGCTGGAAAGGGAATAGACACCTCCAACAATCCTTCGATACGCTGCGTGCGCTTTCTCGTTGGTCTGCGTGAACAAATCCGGCTGGCTGTTTAGTCCTGATGGTCGCCATGGATTGTACCAATCCGTCTTTTGTAGGGCCTTTTGAACCGGGTAGATGTGTGGAATGGCCGTGGTGTCGGTCGTCACTACCTCATCGGGTGCGATTCGAATGATGGGGCCATATTTCTGGTGAAGAACGCGCTCGATAATCTCAATGTCGCCTTTGTGATGGTGCCACATAAGCCATGTTCGTGATACCGATGCCCAGAATGGTCCTGGAACCTTGGCTAGTGGATGGAGGGTTCGAGTATAGATGGTCCAGACGAGATAGTATGAGACGAAAGATGTAGAAAGGTAGATCAAGAGGACAGATCGAAGATGTGCACCCAGAAAAACATCATGTAGAAGCGTCATGTTGCATATCCCGACGTTGAAGGACAGAAACACCACGCGAACGATGGTGGAGGGTACAGACGGAATTATCTTCCATCGTCGCTCATCGGTAACTGCAGCACTCTGCAGCCAACCCTTTCAGGCCCCCGATAGCGAGCTACGACTCGAACAGGCCGTCCCAGCATACTGAAAGGAGAGACGATGCCGAAATGCGGGTCTCTCTACTGTGGGCACGCTGCAAGTGCCGGGGCGTACCGCAGACCCTCGCGTTCTGGCCATGGTGTGCGCTTGCACGAGTCGCCAAAAGCAAACTGGTGATGTTCTCAGCTTCGCCAGCTGAACAAAAGTCGCTAAGGAAACCCGCGAACTATTCGTTGTTCAATCTGATGTGTCCAGACTGTCCAGCATCGCTTTTTCTCATTGCCATGTGGCGGGGAGTCGGAAGGATGCTGCCGCGCTCGGAATGGCCGAATGGGGGTTGCTTTTGCAAGGGGGTCCACGGCAGCACCCTAATTGTAACACCCTGTTCATAGCAGGCTCAGCCGCCGTCCCGTGTCGCCTATCCCGCCTGCCGCCTCCAGAGTTTTGCATGACTTGTGATTTCTCTAACTTTGCTGTCGACTATCGACGCAGCTTACTCGTGTGTTTATCTACAGTCTCCTCACGCTGCCACGAAGCGAAGCGAAGCCAGCCCTCCACACGCCTATTGTCCCCCAACGCCGCCTCAATTACGCCGGAGATGCATAATCACAAGGCATGAGACTATAGTCTACAAATGCGCAAGTCCAAGAGCCGCTTCTTAGCTTGCAACAACGTCTCGACTATCAATTTGACGTTGTGTGGATATCTGGACTTCCGCGGGGAGCCAATAGGATCTGAAACCGCGATGATGGATGCACAACCTTGAACGCCTCTCCATCTTTTTTTTCCCATGGCGCCAGGAATACTATGGTCGTGAGGGCAACGCCGTGTAGTAGGCATTCGGGCCTTTGTACACTGGCGTAGCCACGCATCCTAAGAATTGATCGGATTACTCACTACGCGGCTTACTACATCTTCACAAAACAACTTCCGCATCGATATGTACTTCGGCGAGGACTCAATTCAGCTAGGGTTTTTGATCCCATTAACCGTTTCGGTAGTCCCCGGATGCCGAGCCGCCTGGGACGGCACGTCTGTCATGCAGCCTGCTCGGTAGAGTTCGCCTCGAATCCTACGCAGGTCAAGCAGAAACAAATTCTCCTGAATATCAACTGGGATATCGAATACCGGGATGCTGGTAAGGATGTACGGAAACGTGCTGACGATACCCAGGATTCGGGATGGCATTCGGCCATGGCTGCCTTTCTTCTGCTTTTTCACCACCATCGTATACTATATGTATCAATGATCATTGAACGAGGATCGACAGGTCGTCATATTTGTGGCTCACCCTCTTTGGATCTTTCATACTACTCGACATGCGGTGGAACGAGGTACTCGTCATAGGACTCACAACACTGAGTAGCGTTGTGCATAGAACTCTAGCACAAGATGGCTTGAACATGCTACCGCCATGCGCAGTAAGTCCTGGTTCCTCCTCCACTTCTATAAGAGTCTATCCCTGACAGTACTAGGCAAAATGCTTCCAGAATGCTGTCATTGCCCAGAGGACATGCGCACCCACTGACGTGCAATGTATCTGTGACAGTGAATCCATAAACGCGGCCATCCAGACCTGTGTGGGTGGCGCATGTTCAGTCAAGGAATCTCTCAGTAAGAATCCCTACCAGACTCTACATGAACTGCGCTGACCTGAGGGGAACAACAGCTGCTGTCAACGTCACTTCCACCATGTGCGAGAGGCCTGTCCGCGACCGATCCAACGTCATATTCTTGACCGGTATCACAGCGGGTTCCGTTGCTCTCGCCGCCGTCACCATTCGCACGTGGTCTGCAATCAGCCAAGACTCGTTCGGGCTTGACGATGTTTTTGCAATTGCAGCTGAAGCAGCTTGTCTCCCTGTGACGGTGATACAATGCTACACGCCAAAGCTTGGTTTCGGGAAAGACACTTGGGTAGTTCCCCATAGCGATATCTACAAGGTTTTGAGGGTAAGCAGACGATACTCAACGCGTGGACGGCTACTGAATGCTCAACAGCTGACCTACGGCTCCCAAATATCCTACTTCCTCTGCTGTGGACTCACCAAGCTCGCATTCCTATTCTTCTTCCTTCGCATCTTTCCCTCGGAAACGACCCGAAAATGGATCTGGGTGTTTATCGTCATTTCAGTGCTCTGGACCATCGCATTCGCATTCACGATGACATTTGCGTGTAGGCCCATCTCTGCAGTATGGACTTCATGGGACGGGACGAGCACGCCGGACTACTGTATAAACCAGAATTTGTTCTACCTGGTAGCAGCGGCATTCAATATCGGTCTGGACGTTGCGATAGTCCTGATACCGATCCCGAACCTGATGACGCTGAAGCTCAGTTCGCGTAAAAAGGTCTTCCTCAGCGCGATCTTTGGCGTCGGTGGCATGTAAGTCAATCCACTCTCTCAATGCGATATCATCGCATGCTAACAAAAATGTCTCAGCACCATCATAGTTTCCTGCATCCGCCTCAGCGCCGTCGCCAAATACGCCACATCAACGAACCCCATGTACGATAACCTCATGTCCGGCGTATACTCCATCCTCGAGATCAATGTTGGCATAATATGCGTGTCTATGCCAGCCTTCCGAAGACTCCTCGCTCAGCTGGTACCCAAGTGCTTTGGCACAACGCAAAACAACACCGATCCCAACGAAGACGACGACACGCCCAATCGGCCATCAAAAAGGAGAGGCAAGCCAAGCAGAAGCATGCTGGATGCAAGCTTGTTCAACACAACGATGGCGAGGACGGTAGACGAGACGCTAGAGGGTATTGGAAAGGCGGACGACGAAGTGCACCTCGTAGAACTGCGAAGAAGTGGATCAAAAACTTCGACGCAAAATATGGATGGAAGTATGCGAGGGCACGACGAGGAGAAGATGCCTCCTAGCTACCACGCTTCATGATATTACGAATTTTGCTGTTACACAGCTTACGATGTCTTCCTGAAGACCATTCCGAACCAAACATTTGTGCTGACCCACTTCCAACCCCGCTCTCCCACAGCACCGCCCTCAACGTCCCCCTTTCTCATCTCCCGCTCGTTAACACTAACTACTTCAAGCCCCGCAGTCTTGGCTGCCGCGGCAGTCTCTTCCACTGTGTAGACATAACTACTTCCCCTAACCTTGACACCGTCTGCATTGACGAAACCAGCTTGACTGACGCGTCCCATGTCCGCGTGCATGTTTGTGACCAACGCCGTGCCACCAGGTAAGAGCAATGCTGCTAACGTGGCGAAGTAATCCTTCAGTGGGATGTGCTCCAGGACTAGAGTGGATGTGACGGCATGGACGGGTCGCAGGTTTGATACCGCAGGTAGCGGAGAGGCTGATGGATTGTCGACAGTTGGAAAACAGTCGCAGCACTCTAGCCTGGACCGTACCCCTTGTTGGTTCTTCTCCTTCAACAACGGCGACAGCTTCTTCGCAGCGACATCCAACATGCCCTGCGAGAAGTCCAGGCCAGTGACTTCCACTCTCTTCCCGTTCCAATCGTATCGCACAAGCTTCTCCGTGTTACGTCCGGTACCACATCCTAGATCCAGCACACGCAGCTCTTGTTCTGTTGCAGTGTTGTTCTTGACTTGGGATAAGAACTCTGGAAGGAGGGCCTGGAGCTCTAGATCGTCAATCGCTTGCAACATGTTGCCATCGGTGTCGTAGATGGCAGCCCATTGGTCGTAGGCGGCTTGAGTCGGAATGTGCTGGACTGGAGTTGAAGGCTTTTGTGGAGCCGTGGTCGGTTGTAAGGTTTGGGTACGCTTTGCTGTTTGTTGGCCATCCACAGTTGAGTCCGATTCAGTGGTCGAGAAGGAGGTATTGGCAGCTGCGTTGACGTCAATGAGGGACGTGTCGAAAGTCATATCGATGGATGTTGGCTGAGTCATGTTGGTAATGGTGCTCTCGAAGGCGGAATGAAAGACTGTTCGCTGATTGTAGATGGCAGTTGGTTGGCTGGGTCTAGGAACAGATGACGAATAGTTACTGCAGATCTGAAGTGGGGTAAAGTTCCTAAGGATTGATGCTTTTCCTGCTCGGTGCCTGAAGAAGTCTTATATGCCAGCCTGCTTCAGCCAATGACTCTTCCGCACGCCCTCTCCACGCCCAGCATGTATCCAGCATTACCCAATTAGGCGATGTGTCGTGCAGCTCTCCGTAGCGTGAGTCACATCTGCATCTGCTGGGTTCTGGCTCGCGCTAAAATGGCCCCCGGTGTCCGCCACGTCCGAACTTCACTCAACATGCGTTCGGTCCTTCCAAGATGGCATGAACCGAGCTGCTGAGAGCTACGGTACGCTTCGCGTATGCGCATAGTCGCTGTTTCATGATGTCCTTGACTGGAATTCGACGAGAGGTTCGTACAGCGTTCACTCCATTACTGCTCCCGGGTATCATTCTACACTCAAGACCCATCTTCGAAGTATCTAGCAAGTATCCGGTCTCGATGCGTGACCAGGCGTGTGCGCGTCGTTAGCGCGTCGCGCAAACGCGTGTCCACCCAACCCTTGCCCAGTTGCTCATCCAATAGCAGATGTGTATACGCAAAGACACTAGCATCGAACAAGCCCGGTCTTTGCGCGCCGAAAAACCAGTCGTCTTTACCCAGCAATGTCTCTAGTGTTGCGAATGCCTCGTCTGCCTGGTTGTAGAGCGTCTCGTCGTTGATAATGCTCGAGAACTTGAGCAGTTCGGTTTCGGCAGCCAGACGTAGTTCGCGGGATATCGTAAGGCGTACGAAGGGGTTGCGGGAGCTTGGCAGGATGTAGAGAGGTTCGGCGATGGTGGTGAAGTTGGGAGAGAGGTAGACAGTATAGAGCTGGGATATGTTAGCCGTGAGCCAAGTCGTCCTGTGATGAACGTACCCAAGCTCTCCGTATCCGATGGTCTAGCAGACTTAGGTATGCTTCGTAGCGCGGATCTCCAGGCTCTTCTATTGCCTTCTCACTGTTGTTCATGGCCCATCGTTGCAGTTTGTTGGAGGGAACAGGCTGTGTTCGCTTGTAAGGATCTGGTGAGGACGGTATTACAAAGGGTAGCGAGCCGCTGGGAGAGGCATGGTTGTTTGCCGAAGCGACTTTGAAGGGGATTTTGGAAAACTTGAGGTACGCCTGCGACAATGTGAGCTTGGTGGTGGGGTATGGGCACCTGTCGACATGGACTGACCTGCCACTTCAAGCACGCTGGGTTATGCGATGGTGCGCCTCGAATTGCTCCTCCATTAGTAGTAAATACATAGAGTACATGGGTGTCGTGATGTTGTGGTGCGCGTTGTGGGAAGTCGTTGACGGGATACGTGATGAGTGGGAACTGGTCGAACAGCTGCTTTATTGGAGTAGGGACGGAGAATAGGCTGCGCGACGATGGCTGTCTTCTGATACTTCTAGCGGAAGCGTTGTCATCGTCGGGTCGAGACATCATGGCTATGCGTGGTGATGCTGGCGATGATGTCGCAAAAAGTTGATGATGCGGCGGCCTCGGAGGAGAGCCCGCCGATGTCGTAACTGCGCGCTGCGACTCCCCTCAGCCCGCATGAATGACATTCCCTTGAAACCAACCAGACATTTCGTTCTCTGACCTTACCACCTGCATGCATCTCATTTATCCAAAGCGAACGATCGTACATGTGGACCAAGCCATCTCGTTGCTGGCCGACTGCACAGCCTGCTCACAAGGCTAGCCGCACAGCCAATCGTTTGCTTCCTGGTTGTAGGACCATCTGCAGAGAGTCGAGAGAAGGCTACCAATAGTCGACCGTACGAGGCTGTCAAGCCATCTCCATGTTAGCGCCATGTTCAAGCCTATCTATGATGGCCTTCGTTTGTGTTTACGGTCGTCCAGCGCCACTGGAAGCCAAGAGAGACGCATCTCTAAGTATAATGACGACAAGGCTGAGTCTGCATTATACAGACAAGATTTATTCCCTCAGTGGCTAGAGCTCATGAGGCAGATGAGAAGTTGCTCATGGTTTGGGGGGCAGTGCAGCTCAAGGCTGAGGCATTAGAGAGGTCAAAAGGGCCATCACCCCCATTTACTCCGCCCAACAAGGCTTTCGTCTTTGCTTTCATCTTACTGTCTTACGTATGCTATTTTGCAAATCCTAATGGCCATAGGAAGACTTCAAGCTGCACTGGCGGCCGCGACCAACGAAGTAACAGTAGCTGCAGCAAACCTTAACTTCGACTTTACCCTAGTCAAGTATGAGGCACCAAAGGAGTACCAGGCACTAGGAAACGTACTCACGTCAAAGCGCAAAGACGACGCCGAGCTCGGTTCCATTCACGTTCTAGCTAGGCAGCTAGGTGCGCTCTTCGATGGCATTTGTCCGGCAACACCTGCGCTTTTGGAGGCGTATGGCAAGCGAGCATCCGAAATCGCCCAAGCCTCGAAAGTCATATCCGAACCATACGCTGGCACACTCTTCGGCGATTATACTGGCATTGATGGGACTTCTATCTGGGCGGCAGCTACTTCATCAAAGTGCGCTTTGCATGTTCATCTATTGGCGTGTCTGCTTGCTCGCGTGTGGACAGCGCCTGAAGCTATTGCGATCTGGGTCGAGATAGTAGCAGAGCGCAAAAGAGAAATAGCGCGCAAGGTCGACAACGAGGAACCAGTCGCATTCTCATTAGCGGCAGCAGTGGGACAAGATATTTCCCGGTCTCAACTCGCCGTTTGGGATACTAGTGCAAGAGCTTGGCTACGTACTGCCGACGATGTTTTCTGCCGACAACAAAAGCAACTTGAGCTAATACTCAAGAACATCGATCTCGCCGCGCCCGGTGGCCCAGCAGTTTTTCCGAGCGTCATTGAAACTTGGAAAATAGCAATCACAACCATGGAAAGGCTGATCTCAGGAATACCACAGGCTGTTCAAGACGCTGCTGCGCTATTAGGTCTCTCCGCATGGCATCTCTATCCAGATCTGAGCCTTTATGACCCAGAGATGGTCGAAGTAAAGATGGGAGATTCACTCGTTGATACAGGTGGTGTATTGTCCATCGGTGTATCGAAAAGACCAGACATCACGGGGAGAGAAAACAGCATCTATTGGTCCCTTTCGCTGGCGCAGTTACGTTACTACGGCCATCCAGTCAAGGTGGAGAGAGGTCTTGGGGCCGAGTGTCGACTGACACTTGCTCAGCTTGATCTTGTGATATTTGCCGTCTTGCTTGAAGAATGGAGGTATGAGGAATCTGAAAGCGAGTCGGTTGCTAGAGCTGTTATATCTCTGGTCGACAGAGTCAACATGTCCCAGCTAGGGTCTCTGCACGAGAAGCGACTGCTCAAGATACTGAGAGATGGCGCTTCCGCTTTGATCAATCCTCTCAACGGATCTCAAGACATGACTCGTAGGTTGATACAGCTGGGTCGCAGAAGGGCTCTTCGTTTGCTGTACAATTCGAATGATCCGCGCAAGCTTGATGAGCAATCTGCAGCTCTCTTCGACCTACTCGATGGCGAAAACTTCATGTCGCTTTTCAGGGATACAGAATCGCAGATTAGGTTCCTTCGTCATAAAGCGGAACTCCTAACTAGTGAGAACATTCCATCAGATGCCTACATCATACGGTATACTCAACCCGGTACGCCGTGGGTAGACGAATCCTCAGCTCTCGATAAAGATCGACCCCCTTGTCGAAGTAGCGCTCCGAACACTCCACGCTTAGCAGGGTCCACAGCCACCACAACACTCGAAGGCCTGTCATTGCAAACACCTAATACACCGGAGACCCTCGTAGAACGTCCGGCGGCTAAAGATACTCCCCAGCAAGAGCCTCATGCAAATCGGATATCTTCCGAGTACTCTACGGCAGCTGTTAATGATCAGACCGATAGTGAAGGAGAAAGTGACTCTGACTACTCTTTTGAATCAGAGGCCGAAATACTAGAGGATGACGTGGATGTCTCTGATGCTGAAGACGACCAGAATACTCATCGGCCGGTTGCCGTATCACACGCTTACGGGAATGGCTCTCGGTACTACCTCTTGGCTACTGCCTTGATTCCTGTGCCATGTGGGCAAGCGGAGAATACGCCTCATCATAGATGGGTGCCCAAACATCTTTGTGGCGTTGCCATCCCGGATGGAGAAGTGATTACTCGCGATATGGACGAGAAGTTCAACCTCTGGCATGATTGCATAAAGATTGTCGCAACAGAGCCTTCAGACGACTACGTGTATCATCATGTCATGGGTAATACGACGACGGCAGCGTTGTTCGCTCGTAAAATACCGGATGTCTTCGTCCCAGACCATTCGGATGCTACGATCGAAGACCTTCAGTGGTGTCTGGACAACGACCTTCTGAGCCCCACTAACCTGATACATCATATCTGCATCTCAGAGTCTTCTAGAGTTTCGAAAACTTTAGCCGCTTTTGCTAAAGCAGCCCTGATCTACGATGGCTTGACGGATGCTACTGTTGATGCCAACATTCTCAACTCTACTCTGACTAGCAAACATTGGGCTTCAGAAACTTGGCGTGTCACCATGTCTCCAGAACGTACACTCTCATTAATAGCCCATTTCGAGTCCGGCACCCATGACGTCGACCCGCATCAACTGAAGAATGTCATCGCCGTTTCGTATGCAAACTCTCTGTTTGTAGCCAGTGCGGTAAGTTGATTTCTAGTGCATTTGAAGTATCTTCTGACGTCTGTAGTTGATTCAAGACCCGCTGGAAACCATGAAGAAGCCGTACTATCGAGCTTTCCGGAGGATCCTAGGAAATATAGGAAAGCCAGGGCTTACCTTCCTCTTGCCTCCTCAAGAACCAATAACACGAGAGATCAACATTGGGGGTTGGAACATCGATGGTTATCGTCGCTTCGACGGAACTAAGGGTAGCTCGTTCGAAAGCACATCTGTGCATCTTTCCTTCACAGAATATCACGTCCCACTCTTCGATGGTTCAAGAGGTGCGCATGACAACCAGATATCGTTTGTCGAATCCGTCATCTCCGTCCAAGACAAAGGAAAATGGGTCGCTGATATAGATCCTATTCCCTTGGTCGACGGGTACAGGGGTGCGGCCATAGACAGATGTGGTACACTACGCCGGTTCGACACGAAACTCCCATGTCAGCACGCGATCAACACCAGTCCAGATTATGAAGCCACTGCAGTAGACACGTGGGACGAGCTACTTGATATGCCGACCGGTATCTGCGTCATTCGAGCCGGCAACAACTGGGTCGGGAGATTAGCCTCAACTCTGGTGGCATTCCAGCGAATGCGCGAGAACTCAACCGATTTTGCCATTACGGTGTGCCCAACTCATGTTTGCTGGATCTGCGAAAGATCGAGTTTTCGACACCACGCTTACATCTACTGAACATGGCTCTCAACTTACTTGGTGGATGATGACTGAGAAGATGGGAGATTTGCGCTAGGGATTTCCGGAAACGATAGACGATTGCAGTTATTTTGACTAGCTTCATCGTTCACTCGATATGAAATTGTAGTTAATGCACGAGAGTTTGTAATGAAGATGTCTTCACCCTTCTACAGTCAGCTAGTTCGTAGTCACACAGATTTAGGATATTTGGTCAAAGGGGGAATCAAATTCTATACATTCGGGTTATGACTTTCCCTTCTCCTTCACGAAGCGGGCTGCCGCTTCTTATATATCATCACTCATTAAAAGCCAGAGACGATGCTCCAAAACCTCAAATACCTCGAGAAAGCAGATCCTACGCTACACAAACGTTTAGATAAGCTGCTGGAACGCACGGTCGAGAGGAGATCGGAGAGGCTTGACCTCCTTGTAGAAGTCAATGGTAGCCTTAGCACGCTTGGCAATGCCCTCGGGGGTGAACTCGAACTTGGCGTAGACCTCCTTGTATGGTCCGGAGGCACCGAAGCGGTTGAGACCGAATTGCTCGTGCGAGTACTTCTCCCAGCCCATGGTGGACATGACCTCAACACTGAGCGATGGGATACCGCCGGGGATGACCGACATCTTGTAGTCCTTGTCTTGCGCGTCGAAGACCTCGAAGCAAGGCAGGGAAGCAACACGAGCGGTGATACCCTGGTCCTTGAGGGTCTTGACGGCTTCCAAGCAGAGAGAGACCTCGGAACCAGTGGAAACGAGGGTGATCTGGGCGTCCTTGTCCTCAAGAGCGACGTAACCACCCTTGATGGCCTTCTCGAGAGTTGAGCCCTCAAGCTGGGGCAGGTTCTGACGGGTGAGGGCGAGGATGGATGGCGTGCCCTTGGAGGTAAGTGCCATGTAGTAAGCAGCAGAGCACTCGTTTCCGTCGGCCGGGCGCCAGACCATCATGTTGGGCAGAGCGCGGAAGTGGGCGAGAGTCTCGATAGGCTGGTGGGTGGGGCCATCCTCACCAAGACCAATGGAGTCGTGGGTAGCGACGTAGATGACGCGCTGGTGTGAGAGAGAAGACAGACGGACGGCACC